AACGAGATAAAAACGGGAGCGATAAAAAAGCGACCGAAAATGAAGAACAAGAAAGAAAGAAAGAGAAAGAAAGAGAAAGAGAGAGAGAGAGAGAGAGAGAAAGAGGGAGCAGAAAAAAGCAACGCACAAAAATACAAATCGGGACGCGTGTTCACCCTGTTTACTTTCTACTTTCAAATTGGTTACAAAAGTTTTGGTGCTTTTTGCACATTTTTATCGTTTTGCTTTGGTGCTCAACAGAGCTCAGCAGCAGTTTGCGTTCGTTAAGTTTGTTTCATCGGAAATATACAGCAACACCAAAATAAAATGGGCAACTTTCTGACTTCTAGTTTTTCTCATCCACCCCGAAGATAAAACAATTTTAGAGAATTTTCCCTTTACAGGTTTTCGTGTCGTTTGCTTTTTTTCTGCTTCGTGTTCGCCTCTTTATGTGCTCTGCTTAAAAGACTGGCTGCGAGCATTCGAGAATAGGAGAGCAAGAGACTTTGTGATCCTTCTACATAAAAACGTGTACCCATCTGACATAACATTCAACTTTTGAGCTTGGCTTTCGTCTTTCGCTCGTTTTTCTCTCATTTATTTATTTCGAAATGTTGTTATTGCTGTCTGTGCATTCTGTTTTCGAGGTTGATTAATTTAATCTTGAATTTTGTTGTCTGCTCTCACTCACTCACTCACTCAATTCTACAAGCGTTCACCACTCCAATTCCCTTTCCCATTCCATTCATCTCCTTACTCGTTCTATTTCTCTCCCTCTTTCGCATTCACCACGTTTCCCAGATTTTCCAACCGGATCGTGCAAATGAGCGTTTCTTCGGTTTTTTGCTACCGAACGCTTGACTGTCGATGGCATTGCCATCGTTTGTTGGTTATCATCTTCAGCCGCGTGTTATCGTACCGCAATAAAATACAAATGTTTCCTTCGTCTTGTAATTGTTTCTCTTTTTCCCTTCATTTCATTTTAATGTTCTTACATTAACATATTCCTTTTTTTGTTTTGTTTATCAAGAGCTTTCTGCTCGTGATGCACACTCACTCGCTCGCTCGTTCGCTCACATAGCAGCTGTAGCGCGCACTAGAGAGCAAGAGTTAAAGAATCCAAAGCCACATAAAGAGATACTTTATTTTTCGCAGAAACGGCAACAATGATAATAATTTGTTGTTGAATAAATAAGTGCGGATATGGGTTGTGTGGATGTTGTCTGCTACAGCCAACTCACCTCGGCACAGTCTTCAGTCGTCAGCCTTCAGTTATTTAAAGTTTAAACATAATTGCAAATGCTTCTGTCGGTACGTTCAGCGAGAGTAAATATTTGTCTATCACTCAGTTTGTGGATTTCGAAGAAGCGAAGAGCAAACGACGAACGACGATGATGTCTGTGAAAATGTACATATAAAATACTTTCAATTTAACATATGAATGTAGCATTGCACATACAATGTGCACACATTTGCACACAGTATTAAACAGGGCAGAGTGAGAGAGAGAGAGAAAAAAAAAACAGAAAAAACCATCATACGAAAGCCTCTCGCGTATCATTCGCATCGACTGGGATTCGAGGTTTTTTCTACCAATTCTGCAGCGAAAGCACATAGTTTTGAAATTCATTTCACTTGTGGTAATATTTGTTTATTAGGTTTTTTATTTGATTTGATTTTTCACTCCCTCTCCCACCTCTCCCTCTCTCTGCGATTCCTCGCTAACGCTCTTTTTTCACTTCATTCGTTTTCCACTGTGCTTTCGTCTATTTATCTTTCGACAACAGTGTATTTGCTTTTTATGGTGATGATATGCATCATACATACATAGCGAAATCACAGCCACACAGATACTCGTTTTTGTCCTCACAATCATTTTAATAAAATTGAAAAAGTATTGAGATCATGTCGATAGAGAGTAGTGAAAGAGCCTTTCAGTTGTAGATTTTGAATGGAATTCACAGGAAAAGTTTTTTTTTCTCACCAGACCGGCTACATTAGGAATAGGGTTATCGCTTGCAAATAAATTAATAACTTTTCGTTTCCATTGAACTCGACTTTTTGTCACACTCGAATCGAGACCATATAGATTTATTGGTATGGCAAACTCATTGCCATTTTATATTCACCACCATTGCTTCCTCCTTTGTCATCTGGTTCGATGTGAAAAGAGAGAAGAAAAACAGCAACCATCCAAACTGCTGTCAAAATTGGAAACTACATCCGTAACACGAGCCCACAAAAAAGTGATCAAACATTTTTCGAACAAGAGCGAAAACGAGAGAGAGAGAGAGAGAGAGAGAGAGAGAGAGAATGATTGTGTTTAACTCGGTTCAGGTAACGGGAACAGTTTCGATGTGATGTGGTTGTTGGACGCACACACACATCCACACAATACAAAGATGAGCCACATAAAATTGCACTGCAAAACTTTTACATAACTCAATTTAATTAAAAGTCATTTAATTTGCCATTTGCATAATCCACTTTTGTATTTCATTGGACTGTGGTGTTTGGTGAAATGTGTTCAGTTATTTCTCAACCAAAATGCCGTTAACACAAACACACACACACACACATATATGTACATATTTAAATACAACACGATACATAGAGCTATTTTATTTATTTAAATCTCTTTTTTCGACTATGGCAGCGCATATACATTAAGCGCATTTTGCCTTCCTCTGTACAACATTTATTTATGCTAATTTAACATTAAGGTTCTTTGTCTTCAACCATTTCAATAATAAAATACACACAGCGCATTATTTACGCATTAAATTTACTTAAACTATTAAATACTGTATAAACCGCATAATAAATAGAAATGTTCATTGGAACCATCACCCACGCTGTAGGACATTTTAACACCGCTTTGCTTAATACCATCGCAATTATTTACATTTTTATGTGTGTGTGTGTGCCTGTGCATTACATTAACAATGTGGATTCCACATGGAACCCTCAAGCTAGTTGAGAAAATGTTGTAATATTTTCATAAAAGTTTCCGTTCGTTTCGTACAAGTTTGACACAACTTATTCGCACATTTTTTCCCGCCGAGCTCACTAACCCACAGGAAAAGAAGAAGAAGAAAAAACCAACAACAACTTTTCCAACAAAATTTCGGACGGGAAAATTAAAAGAGGAAACAGCAGAAATTGTCATATTTAACCTACGTCAACCACAAATGCTACTATCACAAGTTATTGCCAAAAAGTTCAAGCTATCGACCGTCGGATTGCCTGTATGGCAAACAATGCCCTGCTGCACCACCAAAAATTGTAATTAAAAATCGATCTCGCACAAAGAGCGCATATTTCATCGTTTCGATGCAACGGCAATGCCTTCGGCTCGGGCCGAAAGTGACAGAACTTCGGAAAAAAACAACAACACTCAACCTACCCATCCGCCACAAAACACCTTTCACTACAAAAATGTGCAATTCAGTGAAATTTCGGTCGTTAGGCAATTCAAGCGCAAATTTTTTTCGAATTTATTTCGATGCCAAAAAACTACGAACCGATGTAACCATGTCACTCCATCGATTAATGATCTGTCAGCCGATTCGAGCAAACATTCCAGGCAACGGCAACAAATAAAAAATTAAATTGATATGACGATGTGCCAAAGGGATGACAGAAAAAAAAACTAAAGACTTGATGGTGGGAAAAAAGTGCGGAAATTACAGTTTTTATCAATTTTACATCACAAATTCTCCACAGATTCACCTTACATAATCGATTCAATGATGACTTGGTCTTGTTCGGTCCTTCAAATTCCGGTCCGCTATTTTTTTTTCCTTCTTCTCTCGCTCTTCCTTTCTCAACCTCTTTTTGTCTCTATCGTTCTTCTCCACTATCTATTTTCTGGTTAGACAGACACGACAACGGACATGACCATATCGATTATCAAAATTGAATAGATTTCAAAAAGCACACGCCAAATCAAGATTGTAACTCTTACCCACATTCGTTTGTTATTACACACTGGTGTATTACAAGTGGCCGATATTGTCATTGTGAAATGTCGAAGCCAGTGATATTCTCTCGCTCGATAATGGCTTTCAATAGATATATATATATAGAAATGAGTAAAATTGCACTGCAACATCTGCAATATATAGATCCGTAGCGCTGTGTTCGTTTTTTTGGTATGGGAACCGGGCGAAAAGTGTCGAAAGTCAGCAACTTGCAAATGTTTAACCTATATCTATACGTATATATTGATATATATACACACAACATGTACGTTTGGCACATAGTCATGTCATGCCAAAGCCAGAAGCCGATACCCCATTCCATGCGAAAAGTTTGCATTTGATGAGAAAAACCAAAAGCAATAATTCATTGCGATGGTGACCAAATTTCCCAAAAATGCTCAAACTTATGACAATACACGCTCGCCCGAATAGTTGTCTCGTGGTATTTTAATTTCGCTTGAAATCGATTTTATGGCGTTAATTAACAATTTTTTTTTCTCTTTGTTGTTACTCATTGTTTTCATTTTTGCGCTGTGCAACTGCGCTTAGTGTGAGGGTGAGTGAAAAAGTCAAAGAGATAGACGAAGCGAGAGAAACCGAGAGATCGGAGAGTGAATGTGTGTATATGTGGTCTGCAAGTGAAAGAATTTAATTTAAAGTAACTTTCAAGAATGTCGATCACATTGTGGGCTGCATGTATCTTACGAGATGAAATTGATGTTTCATTTTCTCGGCTGCCGGATGTGAACCACCACAATGTTCGTTGTAAGTTGAACATAGAACGTTGAACGATTCAACGTTGAATGACGTATACAAAAACCGGGAACACTCGAAGCAAAATGAGTTCATCAAAAAGGAATTTGTGTCAGATTTTATGAATGAAACGAGAGTGACTTTTGCATTACTTTCGATTGAAAGGATGAAAATGAGTTTTTCAGAGCGTTTATACTACCATGCTTATACATATAATTTTGAAATCCTCTAGATGAGCACCATTGAAATCTGTGGATGAACAAAATGAATGAGACTCCGCTTGGCTTTTTTTTTGCATAACATATAAGCATAGACTTTATTTTAAATTAGGTGATTATCATATTTCTACCGTACTACGAGCATAAAAGGAGAGAAATAAAATATAGAGAACACGTGAAGATATTTTGTATGCATACGCTTAACAAATGTTTGAGGTTATTGTTTGTTTCTGCTGATGTTCATACATATAATAATTTATAGTTAAAATATGTAATAATTATTATTCTAAGAGGTTATTGGTTCCAACTGGACAGAATGTTTAAACAAAATGTGTGTGTGTTTTTTTCTGTTGTTATGACACACTTTTTTTTAATATCAATCTTAAGTCACGATAATATTTATGTTTTTTTTTACTTCATTTTATTCTGAATACTGTAAATACGTATGTTTGCTTCGTTGGCTGTGCTTTGGCTCTACACTTAATGCATAATATTTGTTTTAGCGGTCTCTTTTTGATTGGTGTTTTGATTGAACAACTGTTTTTGGCAAATCTCTACACACTAAATGTAAATATGACCAATTGATACACATTTATCTGAAACTGTTTGATTTTTTATTATTTCTTCTAAGTTTTTTTTGTCTCCAAATCGTTTTCAATCACGATTCTTTTAAAACCTCTGAATAATTTGATAATTTTGTGTAAATGTGTGTTTGTGTTGTTCTTGTTGTGTGCATGTGAATTTTGTATGTGCTTTGTAAATTGGTTAAAAGAGAGTAAATTGGCTTTAATATTCAATTTGGCCTTGTTCGCTCGGTTTGCTTGAGTGTTTGAGACCAAGTTTTCCGGCGACATCGTCCATAATATCCAAAGCATGATCGAGTTGCTCTTTGGTGTGTGCGGCCGATAAACAGAAGCGAATTCGGCCAGCCATGATTGGTGTTGCCGGGAATCCAACGCCAACCGCAGCAATTTTTCGATTCAAAAGTTCACGCACAACAGCACTGAAATCGAACCAGAATCGAAAAGCATGTGATTCACAAGAAAGAATGAACAAAAAGAAGTGAATGGTCATCGGAAGTAGTGACCTGTTATTGACCAAACAAAACTAACACAAAGTATACTTACGCTATTTTCGAGAATAGATAGACCATCATTGGCACAACGGGCGAATTATCGTGACCAAGTGTAATAACTCCCATTTGGGCTAATCGTCGACGGAAATATAATGTGTTCCTTGCCAATCGTTCGATGCGTCGTTTACCTTCATCCGTACCATCCAAACCCATGATTATGCTCATCGATGAAATGATTTGTTGGGCCACTGGTGGCGACATGCTGCTTGCATAGCAATGAGCATGACTGTGCACTCGCAAATAGTTTATTAGTTTCTGTGGAAATTGGGAAGGAGGCAAAATCAAATTAAAATTCAACACCAGTTGGCACCGTGCACATGCAGTGTATTGTATTCACTTTTGTCCATACCTTTGACCCAGCAATATAGCCTCCAGCCGAACCAAAACTCTTTGTAAACGTTCCCATTAAAATGTCCACGTCATTCGGATCGACTTTGTAAAAGTCCACCACACCGCCACCATTCTCGCCCAATGCACCAATGCTGTGTGCCTCGTCCAAAAAAACGTACGCTTTGTATTTCTTTTTCAATGCAATCACTTCGGGCAATTTAACAATTGAACCCTCCATACTGAACACACCTTCAACCACAATCATTATTTTTTTCCATGGCAATCGGCTCTTTGGTTGCCCATTCACAATAGCATTCTTCAGCACACGCTCCAAGTCGTGCATATTGTTGTGACGAAATACTCTGGTTGTAGCGCCCGATAATCTTAATCCTAGAATAATGGAAGCATGATTCTTTTCATCGCTCACAACCAAACAGCCGGGCGATAACAATGCTGGGATATTTAACGAGTTTGTGCCAAAGCCCATTCCGAATGTGATTGCATCTTCGACTCCAAGGTAACGAGCCGTTAAAGCCTCCAATTGGGTGTGTAGTGGTATCGAGCCGAGTTCGGTGCGTGTTGAACACGTTGCTAAACCGTACTCACGGATCGACTCAATCGATGTGTCGGCACACGGGCCCGAATTAGATGCAAAACCAAGATAATTGTATGAACCCAAATTCAAGCACTTAGTTTCGGTGCCGGTGAATCTAAATGCAAAAGGAATTTTCTTTCGTTTTATTCGTTCTTGTTCTCCTGTTTTTATTTTGTTGTTCTGTTGGTTGTTTTGCACACGATGACGGAAAGAGAAAGGCAGAAATAAGTTTACTTACTCGAACGTCCAACAATTGTCCTTGGTAATGCGATCCTTCAATGTTACTTCGTCTCCAGGCACACTGCAAATCGGCCGATTAAAGCAATCACGAATTCGACGATAAACATACCTCAAGTAAAATTGTTCGAAACTGTCGTACAGCGGCGCATAGCCCTGTAAATAAATGATAAAAGTAGAAATAACAATAAATACCAAGTACGAAAAGATAGAGCGACAGAGAGCGGGAGAGGCTCAGAGCTGAGTGTGATCGACAAAAACAAGTGTCTGATAAAAACACAGCCCAAAACCATTTAACCTTTTGATCTGGCGGCTGTGAGTCACACAATTACACTTACACGTACAACATTTCCAAGAATGTGAAATGACTCACCTCCCGATTGCGTTCCGTAGCAACTTTCGGCGCAAACAGCAGTTGATTTAAAAATCCCAACAGCATCAAAAAATAAAAGCCTATGTACGTTAAACATGCCGCCAGCATTGGGATTGGCTCAAAGGATTCCTTTGGTTTTTCATGTTTAGAACTCATTGACTCTGACGTCGTCGACTGCTTGCGATTATTATCTCTTATGCCGTTTGTAATAATTTTTCCATTTGCCTACGACATCGAAAAAAAAGAAATTATAATAATATTTCCCATTCATTGAAGCATTTCTTTTTGTGGGGGAACATTACATTATTTTATCAAAAAAGATTTAAAAAATTAATGGTATTATACAGATATCGTTTTTTTCCCATGTTTCGCCAGCAAAATCCCATTTAACCGCTGGGAAAAAGCGCTTTAAACTGGGTTAATGAAGAGAAATTGACACCACTCAGAACAAACATAAAAAATCCCAAACTTTAAATGAAACATACACCGAAAAAAGAAAAAATCGATAAAAATCACAATTGGTCACAAACACCGACAATCAACAATCGTATTTAATTTTGATGATTTTCCATTTTCAACAGAGAAATGCCACACAAATTAATTCGTATGCAAAATAAAATAAATGTATATTCATTGTTGGGTCTGTGCGAGAAAAAAAAAACTGCAGATCTGCTGGAAGAACGCTGTCACAAACACAGGCACACGCACACATACCGTATCAGAATTCAGTTGATGTGTAGTATTTTTGTGGCCGTTGTAATTGTCAGTTCGTGGGGAGCCCTTAATCAATTGCGATGATAGTTGCTTCGTTAGACCATTTTGATGGTAGAATGGGCGATGTAATTGCGATTTCAAATCATTTTCATAGGAAAAAATTTGATTTAAATCGTCAGCGGCTTCACAAATTAGGTTTTCTCCTTGGCTCTGCATTTTCGGTTATTTGCTGTGTGTTTTTTTTCGCTATCTCGTTATTGTGCAGGACACGACACACCGAAACTTTTCTCTGACTGCCACTTGGTTATACACACACCGCACTGCTTCGGACTGCGGGCGAAAATTACGAAAAAGACTACTGTTCACGCTATTTTCAACTAAAGTTTTGACATAACGCTGTCTAGAACTCTTCTTCTTCTTCTTCTTCGGCTCTTTTTTCGTTCGCACTCCCATATGTCATACGATACGACAGTGTTGCCAACTGCGCAGCATTGAATTGTGCGCGGTAAATTTCGACGTTTGCCCAGCAACTGAACGAATGAGAGGAACACCAACAGAACGATCGGGAGAAACACCAAAAGAGAGAGAACCAAAGAGACAGAGAGCTGCTATGAGCAAATGTGTGTACGTTCGAATGCAGAGAATGAGCGAACATTGCTGCATTTGATTTTTTGTAAAGTGGGAGACAGAATGAGAGAAAAACAGAGACCTTTGCTGTTGTAATTTGAGTCGTTTTTTTTGTATGTGGCGCTCATTCTCGTTGCACATCGGATTTAATGAAATAATTATTTGATATCGTTGTGAAAATTACAAAAACCGCTTTCCGTCGTTTTTTTTTGCACGCGCAATGCTCTATCTCGACGGTTATTTATTATTAACGAAACGTTTTGCAGCGCCCGGTTGGACCTAATAGAAATTTTTTTATAGGAATAAAGTACTTTGAAAAGAAATCACTCTGCACTGCAACGAATTAGAGAAAAACGAACATCTCTCGCATTTCATTTCATCTATTAAATGTGTTATGAATAAAAATGTTAGACATATTCCATTAAAAAGGATTTTGAATGGAGAAATATCGCTGGAAAAAATCTCTGACAGCACAAAATATTACATTTTACGAATTTCACTCAGTCGGCGAGGGTGGAGAAAGTCGACTCTCTCAACGACAGCAGCAATTCCGAATCGTTGAATTGAATCAGAGATATTTTTTTTTGCTATTCACATACATACTGGTATCACTGGCACGAATAATTTTCATTTTGATTATCCATTCACATGTTCTCATCATTATCTATGCTTGGCATGTACGAATGGCTACGGGGAAAAAAAGGATATTATGATGTTATGATAATCACAGAAAACTGCTTCTTTACTATTGCTTTAACCTATCTGGGTTTTTTTTCGGATTGTTAATAGCAAGTCAGAGCAAATGAAAATACCATTCAGGGAAATGCTGATGGGAAGTGAATAATTTCATTTTACCGCTCATTCGAGCACGCAGTAGTGGCGGTAGCTACAGTGAAGAAAAAAAAGCGGAAAACGAATGGCATAAAGGAAGAAATCAAGTTTCATAGCGCAGCAACAACAGCAACAAAAACGACAAAAACTGCGTGCCCAAATAGATAAATGGGAAAAATGAGAAGATGAAAATGTTGGCGACGGTAAACTAAAGACCAATAAAGAAAATGTGCTCCCATTCATTCCGTATTCAGTAGATGTCTGTTGATTTTTTTTTCGGTTTTGAAAGGACCTTGTTTGCCCCGGTGCATGTGAGAGAGATCATGAGATGGCAAGAAAATGGATAAAAAGTAAAGTGGAGTAAAAAAAGAAGAAGCGATGCCCAAAATTCAACTGCCATCGTACAACCGAATTCACTCATATATGGTTAGTTTTTTTTTATTTCAAAATAAATTTGCTTTCAACAGCTCAGTCCGAAGCAGCAATAGCAGCAGCAGCAGCAGTGGCTGGTTGCACACAGCATCATTTGCTAACTACTAAGGTTTCGATGTGCCCATTTTCTGTGGCAAACGAAATGGTATAACATCGACGATAAATTAGTTACCGTGGTGTGTATTGTATGGCATGGCCCGAAATCGAAGAAGAAAGAACATTGCTTACTCGCTCGCTTGCCTTTTGTGTGAGTGAGCGAGAAGGAGAATGAGTGTGTGCTGGAAATTTTTGTTGATGTCGTCGCAAACAGTAATTTAATAGCGTCAGTAGATTTATATTTCTATACAATATGTGTTACATAAACGACCCGTGCATTCGTTGCTTGAGTACCGACGACGGAAGAAAATTCATTTTTCATTCAATGGGGTATTTTCTTCTGTTTTTTTTTCCAACAGAATTCTTCTGCATCATGACTATTCACATGTTTTTCCTTTCTCGCTTCTGTCTTGTTTTCATTTTTTTCTTTGTGTTTATTTTTGCAGGTTTTTGCACCAACTGAACACGAGAGAGATGTATACAAAAACAAGCACACATGAAGCCGATGATAATAATTGGATTTCTTCTCTTTTTTCACTTCTCCCTCCTATCTCTTTTCTTCTCATTCACAGTGTGGCTTTTGATCAACCGAATGCTCAAGTCTACTCGAAAATCATTTGGATAAAACGTCTGGCGCTTTTGATGCCGTTGCTATTTGCACTCACATTACATTCAATTAAGGTGGCAAGTGACTGAAGAAAAGGCAAAATATAATTTGTAAAAGTCATCAGACATATTTCAGGGTGATGAAAGAAGTTTGTGGGAGCTCAACTAACCAAATAAGATAAAGCCAAGCCAACACCAGTGTGAGTTCTTCGGTTGATATTGCTGTTGCAAATGTATTTTTCAATTTTGCCAAAAGTTAATTCCAACTTTTTGCTCTAATTCTCTGTCGTTCGGTGTATGACAAGCGACGTGTTTATGCGAAACCGATTTTGGCATTTTGATAAACGATGATTCGGCATTTTTCCAAATGGAAAAACATTCAAAGTTTTTGAGTTGAAAGTTTCGACATTGTTCAAGTAGATTATCCGTGATGAGTAATTTTCTTTCACCTCTTATTCATCTGAACATTTTGCGATTCATCATTCACTAAAAGCCCATGCCCTTTTTTCCTTTCTTTCTACTTTTTTTTCTATTTTTTCTACACAGGCTCCGGACAAATTGTTGACATCAAGCCAGCCGATAAAAAAAATCGAGGTGAAGAGAAAGTGTCAAATTTAAAGAGTGATCGATTACAACTTTAACCAGTTTTTGAAGTGAAATTAAAAAGAATTTGACGAGAAAAAAGGTCTAGGTGTGTTTTTTTCACTCTTTTTTTTTAAAATTCATCGTCTGTGGGTGAAGATTGAATTTCAGGCGAATTTTCAATAATCACACATCGATTGGAAAAATCGTTGTACGACGAGGCGAGTGAAAGGGAGAGCTGAAAAATGAATGAAATGAGAATGCCATTTCGTGTACCGCTTTTATTGCTGTGTACTTGTGTACTCAACGGCGTTTTTTTCGGTTGTTGTGTGCAAACGGAAGTGTAATAAATTTTCAACGCTTCAATATAAACAATGGCTGAAGTATAGCTGTTTGGTTCGGGTCAAATCGGAATTTTGAAGTCATTTGGTCCCCATACAACCAGCTTTGGTTCAGTCTTCAACCATCTGTATCCAGCAGTTTATTGAATTTTAACGTTCGCTTATTTTTTGCGAAGCGTGTAGGGTAGCACTTGCTCATTTGTTCCCCATGCTCGCTCTCTCTCTCTCTCTCTCTCTCTCTCGTCGAGGCAAAACAAACCAAAGAAATAATTTATATCGAAAACATATGCTATGCCATTTTCCCCATTGCACGGATTGTGTGCCACCATCGATGTGTATGTGATGGCGACATGACCGAGAGAGAGAGAGAGGGGGAACGAGATGGAACAGCGATTCCATTTCAGGTCAAACTATGGAAGAATCGACGATTGAAGAAAGAAACATAAAGAAAACGAGAAGCACGCAATGTGTTCCTCCCAAAAATGTTACCATACGTAACATGTTTACCAAATGTGTACAACTTGATATGCATCCAAAGAAGAAAAGCACGAAATTTGAAGCAACCGTGCGGCAAAACCAAAATACACACCAACAATCGTTACGAAAAACGGAACTAATTTCCAAGTCTACGAAGCCAATCTTCAAGGTAATCGTCTATTACACGGTCATAATGAACGAAAAGTCGAAAAGGTGAGTTATTTCCGCTCTTGATTTATTTATTTTTTTATGTATTCATTCCCATTCAAAGGTACATATTTTAGAGTGTGTCCGAGGGCACTGGTTTTGCCATACACACACAAACACACAATCACAAAATGGATATTTGAAGTCACGGACATCGTTTAGACATATTGCATAACGAACATTAAGTATGTTGCTTGGTAGTAGTCTCTTGATGTTACTGTTTGCGAATGTGAATAGATATTGAAGAAGTAAAAAAACAACACGGACACTACTAAACTTTTGAACATATATCGAACATGAGTCGAAGACCATCAACAGCAACAAACAACAAGGAGCAGCAGCAGAAAAAAGTGTTTGGCAAGGAATGGCGTGACCATTACAAGTATTTAGCAGAACACGATTATTCGCTTGTACACCACTATAAAATGAACACATAAAACGATTTGCGTCATCGTTCATTTCTTCGTGTTGTTTGGAATCGTTGGGCTCTTTCTCCACGAATTCACTACTACTTTTTTGCTGCCCCAACTGACTCGATCATGGCATTTCTTGGCAACAGTTTTAAATTGAAATGACTTTTTGTCTTTTTGCGCCACTTCAAGTTTCTTTTTTTCTTTCAGCTTTCGCACACAAACTTTGGCCGAAGTAAGGCGATAAGCAACAATCTGTTTTTTTGTGCTGTCTTTATGTTGCACTGTAATTCCGTAGAAAGGCTCATTTCACGTCTATCTATTCTGGTATTTTTTTGTTCATTCGTTCGTTTTTGCTGCTTGTGCCTGTATTTTTGTGAAACAAGCGATCCCTTGGGCTTAAGCAGCGGAAAGAAAATTCCATATTCCGAATTTCATCTGCATCTTAACAATCTTGTTGGCTGTATTCTTTTTTTTTTTTTATTCCTTAACGTTTATTTGCCATGTGTCTTCCAGAAGTCATGAATATTTTAAAAAAATTCCTACTTTCAATATATACGACAATAGCGGTTGCTGCAGAACCATAAAAATGTGCTAATATTTGCTGTTCCACAGAAGAAGTCAGATCACACACACACACACAGCAACGATGAACGAGCAAATGATGCGCACACGCTCAAGCGGGAGAAAGGAGCAACGCACGATTTTCCGCGAAAAATATGCGCGATGCAGCGTTCTACTGCTTTAATTTAAAAAAAAAGACGAAAAAGAAAAAGAAAGATGGAGCGCGCCCGCTCGGCATTTATATATCATCAATACTGTTTTACGACCCGAAAAATGATGAAATAACAACTGGTACACCCTGGAAAATGGAATGTGGAACA